TGACACGGCATCACCCTTCGTGCTTTAAACTCTCATAACATGGAACGGCATCACCCTTCGTGCTTTTCATTCACATAGCATGGCACGACATCACCTTTCGTGCTTTTACTCTCAATAATATGGCACGGCATCACCCTCCGTGCTTTACACTCTCCCTCACATGATAATGTATAAACAATGGCATGGCATCACCCTTCGTGTTTCACACTCATCCTTACCAAGCATATGTATATCAATGACAAACAAGGCAGGAAGCATAAATAACATCAAGGAGAGTGTTTTAACGGATATTCCAAACAAATCTCAATCACAACTTTCCAAGTCAATAATGATTCAATAACCCTCAAGAACCGTACTATTCAAATATTTCCACAAACCTCACAAATGATCCACAACACAAGCATAAAGTCTAATATCTCAAGAATATCGGCCGTAGTACTGTAGTAATGACTTCACATAGAGATGACCGAATTAGACACATCAATGTATTCTCAGAATTTCCGTCAAGTTTGATCAAGATATAATAAGCTATGTCTGGACTTCTATCATTTAATATTATGTTCTTAGTATCTAAGAGTCAAGTAAGGCATGAAGCAGGAGGTCATGAAATTCTACAAACATAAAAGTAACATAATCTACCCCCGAGCATGATTAACCCTGGCACATACATATACGTTTGTCACCTCATATATGTTCACCCTCGCATGTAGCAAACAATGACAAACAGGAGGAAAAAATCCCTCAACAAAGATAAACACTTACCTCAATTCAGCTAACTCTACACTCAATCTAGTCTTTTTCCGTTACAAATTCCCCTCTGCCCGGCTCAATCTAGCCAACGACGACTTAAATACACCACACAATGCAAGAGAAAACAATTTTAATCAATAAAGCTGTGATTATATTCAATTTCTAAAAAGTCAATAAAAGTCAAACCTCGGGCCCGTCCGGTCAAAACCCGGGTCCAAGCGTAGGTTTTGACTACCCATGGCCTCACGAGTCCAAATGTATGTTTTGTTTTCAAATCTGAGTCCTATTCGACTCTAAATCCCAAATTTTTATTTTTCAAACTTTGACAAAATCTTCATTTTTCCCTAGATTTCTCATGAATTTGATGTTAAATCTTATATAAAATCATAAAATATAGTTGGAAATTGATTAGAGTCACTTACCTAATAATTTGGTATGAAAATCCCTTCATAAAATTGCCTCTCATCGAAGCAAGGGTACAAAATATGTGAAAATGAAGCTAAGCCTCGGAATTCTCAGCACTTAACAGGCTGCATATGTCGCATTTGCGACATGAGATTCGCAAATGTGAACAACTTATCGCAAATGCGAAGATTTGGAATCTCTGTTGCCTTCGCAAATGCGAGCACTGGTCCTTCGCAAAAGCGAAAAATTCTTAGCAAATGCGAATCCTTCTCCTACAGCCCAGCTTTGCAATTGCGAGGCTGCCTTCACAAATGCAATGGCAAAACATCGCAAATGCGACAAAACCAGAACCAACACTCAAGAATTATGAAAAATCATTCTGAAACCAATCTGGAACTCACCTGAGCCCTCGGGGCTCTAAACCAAATATGCACACAAGTCTATTAACACCATACGAACTCGCTCGCACGATCAAAACATCAAAATAACCTCTAAAACCATGAATCGGACACCAAAATGGATGAAGATTAACTTAAACGTCAAGAACTTCTAAAATCGCAACTGAGCGTCTGAACCATATCAAATCAACTCCGAATGGAGCCAAATTCTGCGGACAAGTTCCATATGACAAAACGAACCTACTCAAAGCTTCAAATAAAGCATAACAACCTCGAAACAACGAATCACACGTCAAGTCAAAATCAATGAACTTTGAAACTTCAACTTCTACAACCGATGCCGAAACATATCAAATCACCTCCAATTGACCTTAAATTTTGTACACAAGTCAAATTTGCCATTACGGACCTATTCCAACATCTGGAATTGGAATCCGACCCCGATGTTAAAAAGTCCATTCCCGATCAAACTTCTCAAAAATCCAACTTTCGCCATTTCAACACTAATTCGACTACGAACCTCCAAATTACAATCCGGACACACTCTTAAGTCCAAAATCACCCAACGGAGCTAACGGAACAGAATGAAACTTTATTCCGAGGTCAAAGGCTAAAAAGTTAAATTTGGTCAATTCTTCCAACTTAGAACTTAAATCTTGAAGGTCATTCTTCCAAATTGATTCCGGATAACTTGAAAACCAATGCCGACGATTTACGCAAGTCATAGCACATTTGCGGAGATACTCGAGCCCTCAAAATACCAAGCGAAGTGCAGATACTCAAAACGGTCGGATCGTTACACATAAGGCATGTTGTGGCGTGCAACCCGATCCACATATAGCCATAAGGCATGTTGCGGCATACAACCCGATCCACAAATCTCACTCACAATACGGCTCTCAGGCCCCAACTCAGTCATCAATCTCTCCAGTCTCTCGGGCTTACAAATCTCATGCCAATTACCCCAAACAATGATATATAACACAACAATAATAGTAACAGAGACTGAGATATGATTTGCAAATGATGGATGTGACTGAGTACAAAATTTTCATATAAGCAAATAATTCAACAGTAGAAATGACCACAGTAAGTCTCAACAGGATTAGCATATAGCCTAACATAATTTCTAATATGAATCTGCAGCTTAATTACTCTAACACATAGGGATCACATGAATGAGGTCTGATGACTACACAGTACCATGAAATAAACCGGATCACCATTTCTATGGTGCACGCCCTGCGTCACCTCAACGCCAATCACATAACATGAAATTCAAGGATTCGCACCCTCAAAACCATGTTTAGAAGTGTTAATTATCTCAAACCGTGTGAATCTCTACTCTAATAAGCCCTTGCCTTGCGAATCAGCCTCTGAACGCCTCGAATCTAGCTACAAATAACTTAATATAATCAACACAAGCTATAGGAATCAATTCCATATGAAAATGCTAAGTTCTTAATCAAAAGTCAAAAAGTCAACTCAAAAAGTCAAGCTTGAACCCACGTCTCGGAACCCAACAAAAGTTACAAAATCTGAACATCAATTCAACCACGATTCCAACCATACCAAATTTACCAAATTTACCAAATTCCGACATCAAATCATCACTCAAATCCCCAAATTTAACTCTCCAATCCATAGCCCAAAACTTCTAAAATTCCACCTTAAAAACACTTAAACTAGGTGGTAAATTCAATGGGTAATCAATGTTATTGAATAAAAATGACCAAAACTATCTTACCTCAAGAAATCACTCGAAACCCCTCTCAAAAATCGCCTTAATCTGAGCTTGCAAAGTCCAAAATGATAAAAACCTCGGAACCCTTCAACCTATATTCTGCCAAGTGCTTTTGCACCTACGGGCCAAAACTCTGTATCTGCGGAATCGCTTCTGCGATAAAAATCCCGCTTCTGTGGAAACTCACTTAAGTCCACAAGGTTCGCACCTGTGCTCCAAGATCCGCACTTGCGGAAGCGCTTCTGCGACCAACCGTCCACTTATACGAAGACAACTTCACTTCCTCATACTCCGCATCTGCGAGCTCGCATCTGCGGAAGACCCCTCGCACATGCGACACACCCTAGGCCAGCCCCAGCTCCGTTTTTGCGCCACATCATCCGCACCTGCGGCTAATCCCCTCACAGGTGCAATAACACCAGAAGGCAAAAATCTCAGCAATGATACAAGTCCAACTTTTTATCTGTTAACCATCCGGAATCCGCCCGAGGCCCCTGGGACCTCAACCAAACATACCAACAAGTAATAAAATATCATACTCGCTCGAAGCGTCAAATCACATCAAACAACAATAAAATTACGAATCGCACATCGATTCAAGCCTAATGAACTTATGAATTTCTAACTTCTACATTCGATGCCGAAACCTATCAAATCTATTCCAATTGATCTCAAATTTTCCACACAAGTCATAAATGAAACAACAGACCTATTCCAACTTCTAGAATTAAAATCCGAGCCCGGTAACCGCAAAGTCAACTTTCGGTCAAACTTCTCAACTCTCCAACTTCATGTTTTTCAATTTTCGTCATTTAAGCCAAAATCACCTACGGACCTCCAAATCAATATCCGGACACACTCCTAAGTCCGGAATAACCATACGAAGCTACCGGGACCATCAAAACTTTATTCCGGAGCTATTTGCATATAAGTCAACATCCGGTCAACTCTTTCAACTTAAGCTTCCAACCTTAGGACTAAGTGTCCCGATTCATTCCGAAACATCCCCGGAACCAAACCAACTACCCCGGCAAGTCACATATTAACAATTGAGCATATAATAAGCGGTAAATGGGGGAACAGAGCTACAACCCTCAAAACGAACTGCCGGGTCGTTACATGATAAAAATATAGGCGTCTTTATTATCTTGTAATCTCTTACAGATCAAGACTTAAAAACTCACTGGAGCTACTATTTGTCCAATTGGAATTAGAATCCAAAAGTCATTCAAATGGCAGTGGAGAAGCGTGATTAGATGTGATCATATGGTCAAGAACACAAATTGCTTTCTTTAGGAGCAATTAATTAACCACGATGCCTCTCAGAATTCAGATTAATTAATATGCAATTCTTTATTACTTGATGATGGAAATCAAATTTCAAGACTATAATTATACCACATCAGACATGTTGAAAAAATTAAAAGCTTTTAGAGATTTTATCCTAATCAAAATAATGATATACAATAGTGAAATAACTGTGACTGGTTGACTTTTGATATATCATAAAATCCACTGACAAAATGTGGAATTTTTTAAATTATATTTCACAATGAGGACAAAAAAATTCCTTAACTCCGTCATTAGATTGTTTGAAGGATCATCTTATTCGTCCAATATGGCAATCCCATTTAGTATTGCCTCACTTGGTGGATTACCCCGAAATAATTAAGAAAAACAGTATTAACATAAAAACTAGATTTATTTTCTACATAAAGCTAATCTTTTCTGATACCTCACAGCTTAACGTCAACCATCCTTTAGCTCTTGTTATCTAATCCGGGTAAGTTCAAATTTCACGATGTTTCATTGTATATTATTGGAAAATATTCAAATAACAAAGCTAGCTAGCTCTTCAATTTATTTTTGACTTTAACTTCTGTGCATTGGCAGTATAAATATTTTTAATAACATCAGGTAAAAGTAACTTACTGCGATGGATAATTGGTCTATATGTTATGCCTAATTTCGCAACCTAGAAAGTACAAAGTACATATATAATCCGATGTAGCTAGTTAAACTGATAGTGTAACAATATCTATTTTACATTAATGTTTCTACATATAAGTTATACCTTTTATTTTATCTCCTCAAATAGCAGCAGAAGAAAAGAAGAGAAGTCTTGAAAATGAGACTCGATGTTCTTGTGTTAGTTATTATGGTGATGAGTTCGTGCTTGGCTACAAGTAGGAGTGAGAATAACGAGCAGCAGCCTAATGGAGGTACCAGAACTATGGATAACCATCATCATGTGAGTAGGCAGGAATTCAATAATAATAATGGTGATGGAGGTGCTACTCCTAAAGGAGATAATATAGATACTGGAAACAATTAAGTTCTAACCCTATATAGTAGACTACTCTTAAAATAATGTAACATATTGATATGGTATTTGTAATATGTATATGTGTTAGTGAATGGGAATATGATGTGGTCAAAGTTAATCTCAATGTTTGGCCTGGTGTAAATTGAATATGGTAGTTAATTATGCTGCTGCTTTGGATAATATTGTGATGAAAGTTGTAGTAGGAGTTTATGTTGAAATTTTATCTATAATTTACGTTTATGTATATATAGCCAAGCTTACTGCTGCCTAGTATGTCCAATATACTCTAAAAGTTACGTTATATTGTTAGTACGTAGAAATTAAACTCTAAAAGATAATATATTTATTAAAATATCATGTTGCAACCCAGATTAGGACCATGATGGCGCTTATGAGCTAAAGCCCAAGTAAGCCTCATTGATATTTTATAGAAAATCATATGAGTCTTCCCGATTTTAGGACCATCCAAAATTATTATGTCTCAGAAATCAATAATACAACCAACCAATATCCACCAAAACAAGTCATAATCTTTGGCAAGCCCAACCGAAAAATACTTAATCAATCTCCAAACACGAAAAGATGTTCTAATACGAGTCTATATCAATGAAAGAATACTCAGACACTAATAAAAGTGACTAACGGAATATCTTTAAGATTTTTAAAGAAAAGAACAATAGCAAATAGGTAAACTCTTCGCCAGTGAAGCGATGCGGGGCTCATCTGAATTGTCAACTCGTATACTCTAGCTAACAAAATCTTTATCTACGTTAACTGCATGTCTCTGTAAAAAAACTAATATTTATTAAGATATGTGTATAATTGTAAGCAAGTTTTAGTTTCACATAAACATATTGTAGTGCAGATGAAGTTATAGAGTAATGAAATTAATGTTTTCAATTTGTTTCTATTTCCCATTACGGGATCAGACAAATCGAATGCGTCTCGAGACATGGGAGCTGCCTTTGTTATGCCATGAAAGAGCTACAACAAAAGGTGAAATAACTATTCCGAAGATTTCCATTTGTCGTTGAACAAGAAGGCCACATAAATTATATATGCGTAATCATTTCCAAGATTTTACTAAACTTTATAGCCAAGACTTTTTCATGTAGATTTAACATCATCCACGCTGACTCAGATATGGCAGAGGTGTCCCCAAATATTACATAGTGTTGAGGGGGAAAAAATGGAAAACGGTAAACAGAGGTTAGCAGTAGATTCAAATATATTCGATCGAGGTAACAGATGTATACTTATCCATTTTTTTCCAATTCCACCTCTTTATATATATATATATATATATATATATATATATATATATATATATATATATATATATATATATATATATGTATATATATATGTATATATATAGTTAAAAAGTAGTTTTAAATGTGTGATATTATAAAGTTTTGGTTTCTATTGTCACAAAGGGGCTACTATAGTAGTAGTACATAACGGCATTGTTGAGCATTGAAGTTTTGATAATTAACAAAGTGTGACTAACTGCTGAATGAACCAGGTCCTCAATGTGGCTGTTTAAATGCTGTGAAGAACCAGCTCATCACATTACAGGATCAGTTCCTCATGATTGATACTTGTACGTATGTACAAGACAGTAACTTTATCTCAAAGTTACCAGGTCCGAGTTTGGTGGAAGATGGTTGCTATAAGTGATATGGATCGTTGCTCAATAAGATATGGATAAGTCAGTCAGAGACAAAAGTCCCAAAGCTTGTGGAATCCTTAGAACAGTAGGAGTCCTATCAAAGATGAAGCCGACTATCAATAGGACTCCTAGAAGATCTCAAGTCATGTTTCAATAGGATTGACTGTGGCCTTATGAACTATCTTTTTACACATCAACTAAAGTGCCATAAGTTGATTTTACTTGTGTTGAGTACTTGCTTTTGTATTCTTCCGAGTCAGTCTAGTGAATGTGTTTTAGGAAATTGAGTTATAATCAAACGTCTTAAACAATTAGGGAGTTGGAGTGAATATTTTGCTTTACAAGTTAGAGTAACTTGTGAATCAAATAGGAGTAGAAGGAGTACTGGAGAGTATTGAGTTATAGTCCTGTAATTAATACATTTTTGGCTCATTGTTCTAGTGGAGCTGGAGTTGAAAAACCTATGTTGTAGGTCATGATTTTTGCACCTTTTGAACCGGGTGATTTTCCACGTAAAAATTATTGTGTTCACTGTATTGCTTATTTACTTTACACGTAAGGAACACGGTAAAGAGTCAAGTTCTTTAGTATCCATACGGGCACTCAAACTAACAATTGGTATCAGAGTGTGTTCTCTCATTTACATGGCTAACACCTAGAGAGATCTTGAAAGAAAGATGAGTGCTCCACCTAGAATTAATGAAGGACAATCAACTACCAGACCACCCTTGCTCAATGAAAAATATTACAGTTGGTGGAAGCAAGAATGCAAGATTTCTTGATAGCTGAAGACTATCTGAAGACTATGAACTGTAGACCATAGTAAACCAAGGTCCTTTGATTCCTACTAAAAAAATGCACAAAGTGAAACAGTTCATAAGGACCCTTCTAAATTTGTGGCATCAAATTTCAGAATGATGGAGAAGAATGCAAAGGCTAAGAAAATCCTTATCTGTGGACTTGGTCCTGATGAGTACAATAGAATTTCTATGTGCTATAATGCAAAGCCGATATGGGATGCACTCTAAAATGCTCATGAAGGAACAAATCAAGTAAATCAAGGATTGAACTACTCATGAGAAACTATGAGCTTTTCTCCATGAAGGAGTCTGAGACCATCCAGAATATGATGACTAGGCTCACTATAATAACCAATAAACTGAAATCACTTGAAAAGGTGTTTACCTCAGAAGAGGTGGTTAGCAAAGTCCTAAGAATCCTTCCACCTTCATGGAATCAAAAGTCATTACAATCTTGGAAGCCAAGCAATTGAATAAAATCTCACTTGATGAGTTGGTTAGAAACTTAAAAACTCATGAAATGATAAAGATATAGTTGCACAAAGAAGAACCAAAGAAGGATAAGGCCTTGGTTCTTAAAACATTTGAGTATGATGACTCTGGCTATGATGATCCTGATCTAGCAATGTTTGCCAAGTTAAAGAGGTTCATGATGAATTTCAAAAGTGCACCCAAGAGAGAGATCAGCAGTAAGCACAAGCAGATCGACAAATCTAATTATAATGGGTGCTACAAGTGTGGCAAGCTAGATCACATGGTAAAGGACTGCCTAATATGAAAAATTGAGTTGAGGAAAGAACGGTCAGAAAAGGAGAAACGAGAGAAGATGAGATAAAAGGGTTCCGACAAAGGAAAAATCCTAGGCAAAGGATTTACTGAAGCCATGAAGCAAGCATTCTTGGCAGCATATGAGGATAGTGGGAGTGATCAAGAGTAAGAAAAATGAGGATGAGGCTATAAGTATCTATCATGTGATTGATGAACAGCAAGCTATGAAAACAAAACCTCCAATGCAGCTTGGGATGCACATTGGAAAACTTCCTTTGTTTGATGAACACCACTATGATGAATGGAAGCTATGTATGGAAATATTTCTTCAGGCTACTGACTTTGACCTATAGGTAATTATAAGCCATAGACCAATTCTCCCAACCAAATTGGATGGTGAAGGTAACAAGTGCAACAAAAGATAAGAGGAATACGATGAGGAAGATCGTCAGCTAGTTCAGAAAAATGCTAAGGCAAAGGACTTGCTCTTCAAAAGTGTGTCTAGAAACACCCTCCTCAGAGTGTCCTCTTGCATCTCTGCTCATGATATATGGAGGACCATGAAAACTAACTTTGAAAATGAAAACATCAAAGTGGCTCTGATGGCGATTGAAGAATCAAAAACATAGGAAGAAGTGATAGGAATGATGGCCATGAGTGATTCAGAAACTGAAGATGAGGCAAACCAGGTAAGTATATCTGACTTGAAAGAAAATATTCATGTTATGTCCAAAAAGCAACTGATGGCCATAATTGTGACCTTAATGAATGAAATGGGTAAAATGAGTAATGGAAATGATCAGCTAATCAATAACCTTTCTTGTGTCAAACTTGACGTCAAAGAGCTTGAATCTAACAAAGCTAGTTTAGAGAAACATGTCAAAGACCTTAAGAACCAAGTTCTTGAACTAACTTCTAAGAGTGAGAAGTCTTCTAATACACATGGAAAAAGCAAAATGAGTGGTCTACATGATAATCTTGAAAAAGAATTAAAAATTGCTAATGATAATCTTTGTGAAGATAAATGTAGAAAAAAGTTCTGTATGAAAACCTAAAAAAGGCTACCTATGAACTATCTAGACTAAGCAAATGCATAGATCTTCTGATGCCTTGAATTGGCTAAACGAAAATTGTAGCTCTAACAAATCTGGAATTGGCTATAGACAACCTTTCCCTAGGTTTGACCCAAAGTATGTAGGAATTTCTGATAATAACATGTTCACTCATTGTGGAACAGTAGGACACTTTAGAGACACTTGTCCTGTCTTAATTCATGCTCAGTTTAGAAACACCTTTGGTATTACTAAAAAAGTGAAGAAGGAAGAGGAGGCCAAGGTTAATCCTCATGTCCATACTAAGTGGATTAAGGTTAACAAGAAAATATCTTCTAAATCTCTCCCCTTCTGGGCAAGAAGGAATCTAATTCATCCTTTTTCAAATAAAAAGGGACCCAAGCTAGTGTGGGTTCCCAAAACTAACTTGTGAATTTTGATGCAGGCTAAGGTGAGAGGAAACAATCAGAACTGGTATCTAGACATTGGATGCTCAAGACATATGACTGGAGAAAAGAAAAACTTTCTCTCACTGACAGCCTTCCAAGGAGGGAGTGTATCATTTGGTAATGGGAAAAAGGGCCGGATAACAGGTATTGGTAAGGTTGGCAAGTCACTCTCTCATAGTATAGAAGATGTGTATTATGTGGTAGGTCTTAAACACAATCTTCTTAGCATCTTTCTAATGTGCGGTAAAGGAAATGAGGTAAAATTGATTTCCGAAACTCTGCACTTTCACTAAGCTTGATACTGATGAAATTGTGCTTAAAGGTTAGAGACACAACAATGTCTACAAGATATTGATTATCTCACTTCCCTAGAGTGAGAACACATGCTTGAGTGTAGTGGAAGATGATCCACTACTATGACATAGAAGTCTGGGACATGTCAGTCTCTCTCAACTCAACAAACTGGTAGTGAAGGAC